ACGCTTGAAGACCTACATCAAGGAATATACAAGGAAATCTAGAGAAGTGCTAATGGGAGGTGGGGGGTGTTGCTTCACATTAAAGGAGAATATTAAGGTAGCAGTCATCAGGGTTATCTGCAGTCTGGTAGTGCCTCTCCTTTTCCTTTATTTTGTATATTAGTGCAAAGCAGATATCTGGTCTTGTTACCTTGCAAAGACATCAAAGTATCTTCTGTGCAGGTGTTTCTGTTGGAAAGAAATTAGAACAGAAGACAATTCATGGAGTGACTTGAGGATTGCACATTTTCTGTGAGAAGGAGTGGGCCAATACCCAGAGAGACGGGCCTTTCATTAGAAGTGGGGTTAAGTTTCACTGTGCCATTTTTCCAGAGAGCCTTTAGATCCAGGAGGTATTCTAAAGTTCTCTCATGTTAAGTTTCACTGTGCCATTTTTCCAGAGAGCCAGGAGGTATTCTAAAGTTCTCTCAAGGGGTTTTGATTCAACATGCTTGTAAATAACTAGAATCCAGCCGTACTTCGCAGGTGTTGAGGTTAGAAGTCAAAGTGAATTATCTTCCCAGAAATCCTATCCTCTTTGTTAGTCAGCAGATCATCTTCAGAATAAATGCAAGTTACACTTAACTGTCAGCTTCCTCAGAAGACGGCGTTCTAGCCCACAAACAGGTTTTCTTCAGCATGCTAACGTGGTGGTTGTGCTTCCTTCTGGTACCCTGGTGCAGCCTTGCTGCACAGCGTTGCTGCCGCGACACTACAGATGCTCCCCCAGTCTCCTATGGATTGTGAATTGTTCAGTATTTGTAGACTGAGTTCCTCAAAGAGGGTGGGAGTGGGTCAGGAACAATGGCAGTACGTAGGAATCGGACTGCATGCTCCTTCTGATTAATAAGCTTTCTAATAGGGCTATTTTGCACAGGAGGGATCTTTCTTCGCAACATTTAAACATCATCTGCTTGCTGTTTGGCCGTGAAGTAGCTGACATGCTGTATTTGAGGCCGTCTACGTGTGTTTTTTAAAATGTCATCTGTATTAGTATTACATTCAAGGGACAGTACCAAGAAACGGGTTCCTGCAAGACCTTCTACCAGTATGCGGCATATCCGTCTGTGACAAGTGACATTACAGAAGGTCATGTCACTTTTAACTGCTTGCATTAGATCTTTCTGATTTCCCCAGTGCCCTTCCTTTGTTTGATTAATACTACTTGATTTCAAGCAAGGTATCGGAAGGCATAATTTAGAGTGGGGCAATCTAAGATTTTTGCCATAGAACTTTTAATGAAATAACTCTAATGTTTCATTTTATCTTCATACGCTCTTTCCTGTCCTCCCTCTCTCTCCTCTACCTCCTTCCCCGTCTCCTCCCTCCCACCCATCATGCCTCCCCCAGGTGCAATGCTTGACATAGAGATCCGAATAACTACTGTGTTCCTTCAAACCGAGGCAGCACATGTGCACTTTATTTGAATAGCAACGAGGCAGAATCAAAGGAGAAGAAATTCCATTGTGCATTTCTTTCTACAGTGTCCTTACTACAATGTTAAACTGAAATCTGTTGCTCAGGCTCACTGTACCTCTCTTGAACAGCCTTGCTTTGTTCCGCAGAAACAAGGTGTACTTCAGTATACAGCTTTTGTAAGGCTTCAGCGTACCTATTCTTCGTGTATCATAAGATGATGAAGAATCTATTTTCCTTGTATTAATTTGAGGCACTTATTTTGGTGGTTTAGTAAATCATATCGTTGTGTCCGTACTGTCTGAATGCTCATGGTTTTGGTTGGGTTTTTTTTCTTTTAACTCTTCCTTTTGCATTTCAAGAGGAGCAAAAGCATGGGCTAATTTTCATACACTTTAAAGAATCATTTATGCATCCTGAGCATAGGAACACTTTTACTATGTTTTATTTTCCTACAATAATTGAATTCTGTTTTCCTTTCCAGACAATTCAGTACTCTAAAGCTCAATGTAATTGATGACATGACTAACCTAGAACAAGACCATAGACTGACAGTGGCTTTTCAATTAAAAAATGGAACGGAGGCGCTGGAAATCTGTGCTCAGTCCTGGGCTTCAAGTGATTTCAAAGGATTTTTTACGTCCTTTGAACAAGTTAACATTTCGCCACTCTATAGAAGCTTGTAAGGTAGTTTGAGAACATTAGATGGGGAAGGAAAAAAAAAAAAAAAAAGTAAGTTTGAAGTATTATCATCCGGATAATTTAGAATGGGTATTGTCAAGCAAGTGATTTCAGTGAGGTGCCATCATTTGCAACAATTTCAGAGGTTTCCAATTCAACTAATTGTCTCCATGCTAACTTTAGCGCTAATGTGAGATAGGCATTCTGCTGTTCAATCCTGTCAAGACAAGGAATTTCTGGATGTACATAAAAGAGATCTTTAAGTGTCTGGGGAATATTAATGTTGAAAAGTAAGAGACCTAGTGAGTTTAGTCAGCTCCAGGCGTAGGCAGTATCTGAGTCAACAGATTCAGGTTTATACCTTGGGCTTTAGTCACCTAATGATGTAATTACAGAGTTTTTTGCGTGTGGCAAAACTGATTTAAGAGGGTTTCCATCTTGCTGCGGCCCTTAACACCTTGTTTTCATCCTTTCTTCTCAGTTCACCATGGTAGAGCTGATGCCAGCTTTTCTGAAGCTGCTCAATAAACTGGGTCTCTAAAACCATCCTCATTAAAAGTTTTAGGGGGGGTTTTTTTGAAGAACTCAATCAGTCCAGTGATGTAGTTTACAGCTCAGCTCCCCAGACTCTTGGAACAGCCCAGGGAAGATGACAGCGAGCTACCAGGAGAGGAACAAGGAGGTGATGCAGGTGCATGGGAAACTGAAAATGCCTTTGCTTCCACAGAGAAGTCCGTGAAGACAGGACCTCTCGGGCTCCTCCAAACGGGATGTGTAAAATGGCATACAGAGCTAAACAGGAGCTGTCAAGCATTTCAACAAAACATTCTCAACATTTCCCTCTCTCCACGCTGAGAGGTGTGACCATCCCAAAGTCTCTAGGCAGTGTCTGATCCCCTTTCTTTAAGAGATGGAGCAGAGCTGGCCTAAACGGGAAATAGAGGAGAAACTGGTGAGGGAGGTTTCTTCTTCATGGGTAGTGGCTAGAACCCAACCTTGATTCCTTCTTCAGCCTGAGGGAGTTCATCAATACATCAAGCCAGAGGCTGCAGAAGATTCGGTCAGTCAGGCTCTTCCTGATCAATTTGTTCTTCTGGGCAGGGAAGAATTCAACAGTAGTTGTTCCTTCATTGCTTGGGTTGTGCTTCTTCGTTGGGCTTTTGGGCATGCTCACTCTTTACTGTGTCTTTGTGTTTCTAGACTGTCTTTTGATTCTAAGCTCCAGGGCAGAGTTACCAGTAGACAGAACTGGAGGCTCCTTCCCCTGCCAGTGTGCCAGGGTCTTTGTTAGAGGTGTTTTGGGACTCGGTTCAAGCAAGGATGAGCAGCTGAAACTGGAAATGTTTTGAACTGTGCAGTTGACTTGCATGCACGCAGAGTGCTCTGTGCATGTAAAATCAATCTATGTGTTTACATTTTGCATGGGCCCATGTAGCACAGTTAACTGGGATTTTCTTGATGGTTGAGCTAACTCAGAGGAAAGCATCAGATGCACACACTTTTCTTTTTTTAAGTTTTTCTCTTTTCTGAATTTGGCTCTTGGATGGTGTTAAAGTCCCTTTAGTTCTTGGACATGGATTTGGACTTGATGAAAATGTCCTTGCAGCTGTGTTTGGGGGGGGGTGGGGTGTGTGTGTGATTATGAAGTTATAACTGTGATGTATTGTCTTAAATTACAAGTAAACTAAAACTGCTTGTAGCTTCACCTATATAACAAAGTACACTATGATTTTAGTTGATGGCAAGTCTGTAACATAGGCCAAAGTGTTAATGTTTCATTTCTATGAGTTTTTCCTTCTCTTGTCCTTTTTATGCATATTTGACAGTACATAGTATACACTTTTTGCATCCATACTAATGACACTGGGCTAGGTAGATCTTTGCTGACCTTCATTATGGGTGTTCTTACATCCATCCACATAAGTACTTACATATAAATAACGATATAAAGAGCCACATTATGTTCTGGTTATAAGGAGGTACAACTTGATTTCAATTCCACCAGCGGAGAATTTTCCCTGTAGGGTAGTCTGAAGACTTGATCACAGCATTACAAGAGAGACATTTGTGAGATTTAAGTCTGAATCTGCCACTGACCATCTTCAGAAAGTCATTTAATCTCTCCGTAAACTAAATGTAATAGTGGTTCATTTCATGCTCATGCTGTGATTAATGATTATTAATATTTGGAGAATGAATTGAATGTATGTGTGCGTTTCATAGTGTTAGACTGAAAAGACTGTTTAAATGGAAAAATACATGGATGCAGACATGGCAACCTCAGCTAGTGATGAATATGCAGGAAGTTAGATGCACAGATTGTATAAAGTCACTATTAAGAAACGTAGTGCTAATGGTGATAGAGCATATGGTATATATCATTGTTGTAGATCATAAGCAGATAAGCTGGTATGAATTTATTCCCAGCTTCGTATTAGTTGAAAGTCCCTTGGTGAATGCTGTAAATTCTATTAAAAATGTTGCACGTTTCTGTAGGTAGCAGTAAATTTAAAGCAAGCATTCACCTATGCTGCAAAGGCACCAGCGCAGCTGACAAAGGATTCCTTTAGTTAAGACAATCATACATCGAATTTTGAACTACCTTTTAAATACTTAAATTGTCAAGCAAGATTTTTGTACAGGAAGAGTTTTCAGTATATAACTCCCTAATGTAGATCAATTAAAGCTATAACACTTCCGTAAATTTGAATCTTTAGATCAAATGTTTTTTCCTAGTTGTACACTTTCCTTCTGTGCATTTATTTCAAATGTTAATAAAGTTTTCATCTACAAAAGGTTTAGAATTGACAGAACAAAACTCTTCCTTTTTAAATCATGACAACTACTACTGTTTCTGTCTGCAGGTAGTGGAGGACATGCTAGAGGACGAGGAAGAAGAGGATGACAGAGATGACAAGGTAATTATCTTTCCTAGCACTTGGGTATCTGGGGATGGGAGAATTTAGACATGACACTGTTTTTACAGACAGTTAAAAAAGGAGTTGAAGTGTTTTAGTCCAGAAAATTGGACAGAGCTGTTTATCATCCTAACAATGCTACAGTGTGTTGCGGGAAAGGATAGAGGACTATAAATCCTGCTTTTTTTTTTTTTTTTTTTTTTTTTCCTTGGTCCAGAGCTGGGTCAAATATTTTTTCTGCCAGGAACAAAAATAATTCAGCCTGTCTGGAACTTGATAGCTCTTGTGAAGATAACTGCAGTGACAACTGTTTTTGAAGGACAAAAATTTGTCCTGTCTTGAGTATTACAAATAGGGCAGCACTTTAGGGGAAAAATGGTGTAGAAATAGCAACTCCATACTGGTTAAAGACGGGATATTGACATCTATAATTTTCAAAGAATTACTCGGTGGAAGAATGGCTGAAATGTTTTGCACTCCGTATGACATTTAAATAATCACAATTCTCATAGATGTCCGCTTGATGTGAAGTCAGCATTGTGGCCCAGCCGGCCGGGAAACTGTGGCAGGTCGCTCAGCTATTTGAGCAAGCACGGTTCAGCTTGGAGGCTGCTGGTTGGGTTGAGGATTGCAACCACAGTAAATAACAGCTCATTTCCACACCTTATTGAGCCGAGCTATGGGACTGCTTGGATTGGTTGTCCCCCAGGGAGAGGGAAAAACCAGAGAAAAGAAATGAGAATGACCTTGCACCACTGAAGCAATGGCTGGCGCTGGCAGGACAGGTTTCTGGTGAGACGAGACGGTGAAGGCAGCCCCGTTGTTGCTGGTATTTTCCTACCAGGGAGGTGATACTTATGGAAGAAGGGAAAAAGGAAAAAACGGGTGCTTTTACAAAAACTCTGAATTAAAATACAGATGCTTTTGACCTTCACAGATGTTCCCCCACTTCTGCTGTAGTAAAGCAATGATTTTTTTTTTGATTTTTTTTTTGAGAGGAGAAAAACAGTGTATCTTAATTTATGCCCTTGACCTTTGTTTCTAGTTGAGATGTACAGTTATATACCACTGTAAGAATTCATATGCTGGCAGCAGCATTTGAAATGTCAGAAAATTCACTGTGATTAGTTAATCCCCTGAATGATTATTTTTTCTGTTAGCTAACACCTAAGATCAGAGAGATGATAAAAAAAAAAAAAACCACAGTATTCTCCTCATTCCATTGCCAGCTCAAGCACTTTACAATTGACGGAAAGTTATTATGTGAAATTCTTCTATACATCACTTAAATCGTTAGCTACATCATTTCGGAATCGGCAAACACTGTAGTAACAAAACCTTCTTTTACAAAACACGTATGTGATGGTTTTTAACACTAAATGATATGAGCATACACTTCTGGCAATAAAATATATGATTTATTGCAAAGGTCAGTCAGGTAGCTGTGGAGAGCTTGTATTTTAACTCAACATGCTGGCTTCGAATCATCATTTCTCTTCTGATAAACACTGATCTGCCATCCATTTGAAGCCATTTTCTCCTGTTTCTTCCTGCTTTATTATTAGAGCTGGTGCAAAAGTATCATCCCAGTAGTGTGTGTATTCCTGGATATTTTAATAACTGTGATCAGTTCACAAAGAATAGTGCTTGACTGCTTGTAGTTTAAGCCAGCCTGTGTAGTTACCGCTTAGTGGTTTTTGGAAATTGCTAAACAAACTCCTTTAAAAGGGAAGATGAGGGCGGGGGTCAGCCCCCACCCCCTAATTCTCCGAGATTAACAGATGCTGGGCAAAACGTACCCAATTAGAAATATCACTCTGGGTTTCAGTGTTGTGATCTAATATTCAGCTTTCTCAAACTGACACCAGAGTTCAAACATTTTTCTAGATCTTGTTAGCAAGGTTGAATAAAAGTGAGTAGTGACGTTGCTGTGCGCATTCAGTGAGCCCTTGGACTGAATATTTAAGAGCTGTCTTTCTATACAGAGGGTGTTTAGGTTGATTTTTGTAAATTCAAAGCCATCTTCATCACTGCAAACATTCTGAGTTCTCGTGATTGAATATGCTGTTTGAACGGAAAAGAAAATTACGCTTTTTAAAATAAGCATGGTATGGATTACCACGTATACTCAGTACCCTTCCCAGTGGGCGTTATTTTGTGCTGGGCTAAAATGGTAAGATTTAAGGGCATAGCTAGGACTGAGCTGCTTGCCTCTAGAAGCTGGTGGGGTGTTTTTCCCTTCCTGCTGCACGAGGCATCCTCTGTTGACTATGGCTGTTCCTCTTACACCTTTTCCTCAGAATGGAAGGGTGCGGCTTTGTGTTATTTTAATCCTTATGTGTGTTTTCTTAAAGCTATGTGCAAAATGAAGTCTTGTGAGAAAACAAATGCGCATTTTGTGACACCAGCTGGTAGTGGCCTCTGGCTTTTATTATTTCTCTGGTTTTTCATACGGTGTAATAGAAAAATCAGGTAATCGGGGCTTCTTGTGCGATAAAAGTAAAAAGATTAATAAATGTGCCAAAGCCTCACGTTAATTGAAACTGAAGCATATGTTGCAAGTATGTAAAATATGTCCCAGATGTTTGACCATGGCCAGTGTCTCTGCTTTCCCTGATTACCACAAGGCAGCTATTAGTCCTGTAACCTTTGGACTTAACGGTAAATGGGGTATTACATGGCACAGAACCGGAGCACCTGTTTTCCATTCAGGAAAGACCCCTGGCAGGCTTTACCTAAGCCTATCCATATGTTTTCACTTAGCAGATTGTTGGGCGATTATGAAAAGTGTCTTTCTTTAGAGCCAGCTTAGATATTAGTCACTTGCTCACAGCGAAAGGGCAACCCTTTGGCTACTTGATGAGGTCCATGTGGGCACGCACTGATGTAGGTTACGGGATGTGTGGTGGAGGGACCTCGCTCGACATCCCTAAACTGCAGAGTTACAGAAGTAATAAACGGAGGATGATGAATGCTCAAATCTGTGTAATTAGTTGAAGTAATGCATTTTATTAATAGTGGTGGGTCATACTGAGAGGAGTTTGACAAGGTAGATTTGCACTTACTGTACTACTTAGTCTCATTCTAATGTTCTGGATTTCAGTAACTTTTTTTTTCACTCTCTGCTGCAATTAAGGTAGACAGGGCTGCCAATTTAAGGTCATAGGAAGTTGGAGGGTTTTTTAACTGGAGAATATTAACTTTCATCTTCAGTTGCAGTACAACTAATAAACCAAAATGTCAAGTATACTTCTTGTTGTATCAGTTACAAAGTGGTGCTTAGCAGTGGAACACATTTTTCCTAATTTTGTTTCTTTGTCATATTATGTATTTAGGAACTGAAAAAGATGTTGCAGTTTGTTTGCCTCAGGCGTTTGTCCTTAGTTTAATACTAGTTTTTCCAAGAAATAGCACTGGATTCTGCGTTCCATATGTTCTGTACTGCTCGCTAAACCTATGCCAACCACAGATTTACAGTTTAATCTGATTTCTCTCCCTCCTCTCTCTTTTTTTTGGCTCCCTTCCAAACACCGGCTTACACAGTATCTTAGCAAATAAGGGTCAGTTAAATTACATGAAGTCAAGTTATCAACAAGCTATCAAAAGGATTTTTACACAGTTATATTATAATAATGTAGCGGTCAATATGCATAATCTATGCATGTAAGATTTTAGTTTGTTGTTTTAAGAGTTCAGGTATGCTTTTCACATAGCTTTGTTTTATGAACAAGCTCCAGATAAGATTTCAGATAATCACAAAGAATTTCAGCTCAGCATTTTGCGGGAAGCCCCCAGCATGCCACAGGATCAGGCCAGCGAGCAAGGGTACGGGTCCAGACTTAAGTGGAGGAAGATGCACGGTATGAGCACTGTCTTACTTTACCTTTTTGTTAACAGTAGCAATATTTTATTAATACAGAATATTCAAATCTTTTGCACCTTTGGCTACTCTCTCTCTCGGCTTTCGTTCTTTGAAAAATTCTTTGCAGTTCTCCGTCACTGTTATTATGTTTCAAGATAACTAGAAGCTTTTATAATGAAAGATTGTTGAGTCAAATTAAAATATGTTTTAAAGCTTTTAATCATCCCTGCTGAGAGGTACCAACTTTATTTTCAAGCCAAGACACACTCGTTACCTGCCTCAGAAGCATGCCCTGCATTTTTACCATGAGTAGATCATGAGGAGAAGGAAAGATAACTCCAATGTAGCCTATATTTTTACATTCAGTAAAAGAGAAGATTGTAATCTATTGTAGTAGCAGTTAATTCCTATAAAATAAATGGTGGAAAAACGATAAAGAAATAGGGGGTGAGTGAAGTGAAGAGAAAATTCCAGAATGAACAAATCCATAGGTTTGCCTATAGCTTGATTCCAGCATTAAGTTCTACATGAACATAGTGCCTAAAAACCAACTGTAAACAAAACACTAACAACAGCTTAGCTACACTATGTGTACTTACCAGATAAAACTACCATGGGGCAATCTAGAGGGCATAGCTGCAGAAGTCAAACTTCTCAGTTCAGTTTGCTCTCAGCTCAGTTTAGTTATTCCTCTAGAGGTCGGTGATGAAAGGCACGTGTTTCCTACCAAAATTGTGCATTATAGGAGGGATGATGGGGTAGATGATGTGGTTCAACCCACACACGGGAATGTATGGGAAGTGGTCAACTGCCCAGCCCGGGGGGGATTTAACAGCCGGGCAGGGGCGGTGCTGAGGGCCAGGGTTTGGGGGTGGGATGGCAGGGGTAGGGGGGCCGTTGGGCTGGGGGAGCTTAAAGGGCTTTGCCAACCTCAACGATTCTGTGATTCTATTCTATGAATGTCAGCTAGTGCTGGTTCTGATCATTGTATCACCCCAAAGTCACATCCATGGAGTGACTTTTGCCTGGATGTACCTTGGATCATGTGGAGCCTTTGCATAGGAGCTTCCACAAAAAGGGAGTTTTCATCCTGCCCTGTCCTGGGGCATCGGATGGGCTTCGTGATCAAAGTGTGTGC